GGCCACTGCCCGCTGACCCTCACCCTCCGCACATCACACATGCATGATCGGGCTGCGCATGGTGGGGCTGTGGCTGTGAGCGCAGGATCTTGCGCCGCATCCGCACACCGCGCGATGCCGACGCTGCAAGCGCAATGCCTTGCTGCAGGCGGCGGTGATGGGCAATGGACTCACCCGCGGGGCGCGCCAGCAGCGCAAGGCCCGCCACAAGCAGGATGAACGCCTTCTGCTGCATGCTGCCCGTCCTGTAGCGTCTCCTGGGGGCTTGCAAGGCCTGGGTCGGGGTGGATGTGGAGAGGCTGGGTCGAGAAGGGCGGCAGAAGGGGTAGAAAAGATGTGGTAGTGAGAGGCCTGGGAGCACTCATGACCTCTGGACCCCAGCATGCTCATCACGCCCAGCACGTTGAACCACCAAATGCCGCACGGGAGCATGCACGGGTCACAGTCTGGGCCTCAATTCACTGTCCGCTCAAAACCACGCAGGGCGGGTGCAATGTGCAAGGCCGCACAATCTGCGCCGCCATCAATGCAGATTGATCTGCAGGCACAAGCGGCTTCTCTTGCTAAGGGAGGCGCATGCACAGACCTGTGCAGACATTGGACACCTGGGACCTTATTACTCTGCGGTGCAGCTGGTTCCACCACCAGGGCTTTGTCATGCAGGCTGGCTGTCCTCTTCATGTACCGGTCAGCAAGCCACTCTCGCAGCCTGCCATCCCTGCCGCATGTAGCAGCACCTTGATTCCAAAGGATTGTCCTCAGATGAGCATTAGACATGGTATATTTTATGACCGTCACGACTTGTGTCACTGATGCATGTTCTGAAATGAAAGCGGGGCTCAGTGGTGGCAAAAATCGCAGACCGGCACAGGATTTGTTTGGTGTGCAAGGAGCAACAAATCATAAATCAGGGAATTGCAGCAAGGGAACTCTCATTTGCTGTGGTGCTCAGGACTGGTCACAAGCGCAAAGGCAGCAGGGGGTCGCTGCCGACATCTTGCACGCCGGGCGCAAGTCGCTTCACCCTCAGCACTCCTTCAGCTTGATCTCGTCGCCGGGCAGGATGAGCTCGGGGTCCTCAATCTGCTTGTTCAGCGCCACCAGGTCCTCCAGGGTGGTGTCGTACTTCTGCGGGGCGGGAAGCAGGCGGGGGCCGGGGGGCCGGGGAGGTGAGTGGTGAGGACGTCGGCAAGGAAAGGGAGCGTGGGGCTGAGCAGCTCCCACATCCAAGCCATCCCGTGCACATGCCCCCCTCACCGCGGCAATGTCGAACAGGGTGTCGCCCTCCTTGACGGTGTAGGTGCAGCCGTCGCCGGTGGGGGTGGTGGGCTTGGAGGGGGAGGGCGCGGGGGCCTTGCCGCCCTCGCTCTCCAGCGGCAGCAGCACCTCGTCGATCACGTGCACAATGGCGTCACCCGCCTCCAGGTCGGCAATCTTCACGGGCACCTCCTGGCCGGCCACGGTCAGCACAAACACGCCCTCGTCGTTCTTCTTGATCTGCAGCAAACCAGGGAGGGCAGCAGAGTGGCAGGGGAAGGATGAGTGTGCGAGAAACCAGGGCCATGCCTGCAGATGCGTCGCTGTGCTGCACCCCACCCCCACCTTGAGCTTCTTGCCCTTGAGCATGGTGCTGTAGCTCTTGCCGTTCTTCAGGTCGTCGGCGTCCAGGGCATCGCCGGGGATGACGTGGTAGGCCAGCACATCCTGGACCAGGGCGGTGTCGTTCAGCAGCTGGGCGGCAGTCAGCTTCAGCTGCTTCAGCAGAGCCTCAAAGGCCTTGTCGGTGGGGGCAAACAGGGTGGCATCCAGGTCGCCGTCTGCAGGCACGCAGGGAACAGGGCGGTGCAGCGGAGATGAGCAGGACATGCGGCCGGGAACAGGAGCATCATCAACGTGCCAAGCAGACTGAGCACTGCACAACGGCAGGCCACGCAGCGCTGCACTTGCACTCACCCTGCAGGTCCTCCAGCATGCCCACAGAGGCCAGGGCGGCAAAGAGGGTGGACATGTCGGTGCGGTGCTGCAGCAGGTCGAAGATGCTGTCGCCCTTCTCGTCGTCACCACCTGCAGCAGGAGCATCAGGACGAAGGAGATCAGCGGTCGGCAGCACGGGGCCGCAGGGGGGGGGCAGGGGCCTGGACTGGCTGGCAGCACCGCGGGGCAAGACAAGGCAGGGGTCTGGCGAAGGCCAGGCTGTGCTGCCTCACCCTTGCACGGCAAGCGCAGGGTGTCGCCCTCGAAGATGAGCTCGGGGTCGGTGATGCTGGGGTTGAGCTTCATCAACTCGGTCTCATTGAAGCCATTGTTCTCGGCAATCTGCGTCGGAGGGAGCAAGGAGGCGCAGCAGCGGGCGGGGTGGTGAGCGGCAGTGGCGCTTGCAGACAGGCAGGAGGAGTCATGTACCCACACCTCAAACAAAGGGCCAATATGTGCTCGCACTCCCGACAGGCGGAGAAGGAGAGGTGCAGGAGAGGGAGCGGATGGCCGCGCTGGCGGTCAATTTTGCGGCATGGCGTTTCGAGCGGCATCTGCATGCATGGTGGGCGGCACCACCCACTCACGTCGTACAGGTTGTCGCCCTTCTCGATCAGGTAGTTGCAGTGAGCGGCTGCGGCAGGGGGGCGAGGACAGGGCTGCGGGTCAGACGCGTCGGACACATGCGGACCACGAGGGAGCCCGATCCTCCCCATTGGGGCCACTGCCCGCTGAACCCTCACCCTCCGCACATCACACATGCATGATCGGGCTGCGCATGGTGGGGCTGTGGCTGTGAGCGCAGGATCTTGCGCCGCATCCGCACACCGCGCGATGCCGACGCTGCAAGCGCAATGCCTTGCTGCAGGCGGCGGTGATGGGCAATGGACTCACCCGCGGGGCGCGCCAGCAGCGCAAGGCCCGCCACAAGCAGGATGAACGCCTTCTGCTGCATGCTGCCCGTCCTGTAGCGTCTCCTGGGGGCTTGCAAGGCCTGGGTCGGGGTGGATGTGGAGAGGCTGGGTCGAGAAGGGCGGCAGAAGGGGTAGAAAAGGTGTTGGAGAGGGAAGCCAAGGACTCTCTCATCCCCCCACCAATGGCAGCAGGCCCAGCATCGGTGGCTATTCGTCCACGACAACATTGGCAGTTTTGGCGGCTAGCGCCCCAATTTGTGGATCGCCAGCCGTTGTAAGCTCTTTTGCGAGCGCGGGGCGGAGTGCCCGTGGTCCGATGGCGACGAATCTCTGGTGGGAGAGATAGCAACCTATGCTGGCTTCCCGCCATCCAGGAGCCATTCAATGCATATGCTTGGGTAGCTGAAACGGCATGCATTGCAGCCTCTGACAGATCTAGCTTGAGGGTGGTATTGGCGAGAATATGTGTTGCATTTTCTGTTGCAAAGTGGTTAGGGGTACCACCAGGCATGGGCATTCTTGCTGAAACAAATGAAAGTTGGTAGCGGACAGGCATGGACAGGAAATTTATGGAACATGATGGCAGCAGGATGGGCTGGAGCAACAAGGCGAGCCAGTCAGTGGGTGAGCAAAGCGGCAGAGAGCATCAAAAATGGGTTCCCAGCGCAGCAGAGCTGGAGGGAGTCTCCTTCCGCTGCCTAGCTCAGCCCGCCATGCTGCAGCGTCCTGAACAGGGACTTGAGCTCCGGGAACAGGTGCACCATGGCAATCTCCAGCATGCCGTACCCCAGGTGGTGGCAGTAGGTCTGGGACTGCAGCATGTCAAACAGGTCCCGCGTGCCGCTGCAGCCGTGCAGAGGGCAGGCGCGGCAGCCAGGTGGGGATGGGCGCGTTGGCACCACGGCGTGGGCACGGCAAACAGCGGGCAAGTAGGCAGCCCTTGGCCAAGCTTTCCTGCTCCCCTCACCTGGCATATGCATTCTTGCCAATCAGCCGCACCAGCGCGGTGGGGGCGCGGCGCAGCAGCAGCGCCTCCACCGCCTCCCGGATCTCGTCCTCGTCCAGCGGCGGCGGCCCCCTGCTGCCCCCGCCAGCCAGCCAGCATGCACGAGCAAGGCAAGACGTCAGCTACACCGGCAAGAGCCGCAAGCATGCTGCACGGGTTGCGCTGGGCGGCAGGGGGCCCCAGGGTGGCAGGCTCTCTGCAGCATGTGCTGGACATGCAACTGGCGTGGCCCTCCGCACCGCTGGCCCCCTCCCCTCCTCCTATCACCCACCCCGGCTCCAGGAACTTGGCGGGGTCCATGCCCGCCGGCCGCACGTATCTGCCGCCGCTACCAGGTGCTGGGGCCGTGCCCGCCTGGTTGCCCGCTGCCGGGCCATGCTGCTGCTGCTGCTGCTGCTGCTGCTGCGCCTGCTGGCGCTGCGCCGCCGCTGCAGCCAGGGCCTGGGCCGCTGGCGTGTACTGGTACCACACGCCTCCCGGCCACAGGCTGGCCTGGATCTGGCTGATGATGCGGCCGATGGTGTGCTGTTGGCGCAGCAGGCGCAGCTTGGATGTGAGGTAGGCGTCGATGGCCTCGCCCGCCACCAGCGACAGTGCCTGCCGCGCCACCGCAAACACCTGCACTCCCCGGGTGGAGCACCAGCGCACGCTCGGTGCCGCACTCAGCAGACGAGCAGGCATGGGCACTGGCTGTGCCGCCGCCATGTGCGCTGCGTGCCACAGCGCGCAGGTGCGCCGCAGGGCGCGCGGCTCCCCTGCCCCGCACCTGGCGCCGGAAGAAGCCCCGCATCTGCAGCATGAAGACGCAGTCCACCATCTCGTACAGCGGCGCGGAGATGCCTGCGCAGTCGTCCAGTTCCAGCGAGGGCTCCACAGGGAAGGAGGCCAGCGGCGAGGCGGGGCCCGGGGAGGAGATGCGCAGCGACGAGGCCAGGTGCGCCGGCACGCTCTCCTCTGCGCCACCCCTGCAGCAGCAGCACAGGCCAAGGGCCATGTGTTGGGGACTGGCGGTGTGGCTGGCTCGCAGGAGCAGATAGCAAGCCCCGCCCTTCGCCAGGCCTTCACGTCTCCCAGCCTCCACCCGTGCTGCGCAGCCAACAAGCGCCCACCCCACCTGCTGCTGGCCAGTGCTGGGCCCTCGCCGCTGTCGTGCCCGCTGCCTCCAGAGCTGCTGGTCTCGCCGATGCGCCGCGGCTTGCGAGCGGGCGAGCGCTCACGTGGCTGCTTGGTGGGGGATGCAGAGCGGCTCTTGTTGCGGCGCAGCCCGCTGAACAGCTTGGAGGACTTCTTGCCGGGTGAGGCTGCAGACAGAGACAGCAGGCGAAAGAGTAGGTGCAACAGCAGGTCAGACGGGAGAGTGGGAATCACCCTGGCAAGTCAGCAGAGGCAGGCCAGGCACCTCGTGCAGCTTGAATTCAGCCCAGCCATGCTCACCCGGCAGCGAGGCGCTCGGCGCCTGCCCGATGGTAAGAGCATGGCCATCCTGCTGCTCCGCCAGCTGCTCGCTGTCTATGCTGCTGGCGCTGCCGCTGTGACCGCTGGGTTCCGTCTGCTGCTGCGCTGGATCCCTGCTCATCGTGCGACGCATGCGGAAGCTGACCTTGTTTGCCCTGTCAAGAAACCCGCTGCACAGCAGCAGGAGTGGAGAACCTTTGAGAAGCCAGGCAATTGGATGCCAGCAGCAATCATTGAATGCCACCCGGCATGCCTGCTCACCTGCCCTTCTCTTGCGTGAGTGCACTGCCAGAGCTGCCCCGCTGTGCCACAGCTGCTGCAGCTGCCTCCTCGATGCTGCTGCTGCTGACACGATCCAGAGCGCTGGGCACGCTCTTCACTCGGCGAGCCAGGCCTACCAGGCAGGGCAAAGCAGGGCAGGGTGGGGCATGCCGGCAAGAAACAAGGTGGAGGGCAGCAGGTTCTGGGCACGCTTGGCAAGCAAAACGCGCAGAGCTCATCTCCCAGCCCTGCACTGCAACATGCCCTACCTGGCTGCATCTCAGAGGCGGCCGAGCCTGTCAGGGCACCCTTGACAGCGCCTGCTGCAGCCCCTGCCGCCCCAGCTACACCGTGGGTCACCCGCACCACGCCCTTGGAGGAGGCTGTGGCCAGCTCCGACACTCCCTGCAGCCGGGAGGCGGCGCATCCACTCAAACCAGTCTCAGGCTGTCAAGGGTTGCTCGGACACGGCCCATATACGTTGAGCAACGCCCAAGCCCCACCTGCTTCACAGAGCCGGCGACAGCACCAGATGCGGACGTAATGCCACGGCCCACGCTGTGCGTGCTGTCCAGCACGGCGCGGCTCAAACCGCCCAGCATCTTGAGCTGCTGCTGCTTGTCGATCACGCTGCAAGCAGGCAGTGCAGATGCAGCTGACCCATGAATCGCCCCATCGCCTGAACAGGCATCATCTGCGAACAGACAAGCCAGCATGCATGCAGAGCAGCATCCTGGTGGCGCGCCCCACCTGGCTGCCTTTCTGAGCGTCTGCATGCGCTGTGGCGGCGGTGGCGAGGCGAGCTCGTACAGCTGGCTGCCTGCGCGGAGGAACTCATACAGATCTGCGCACTCTGCAGACGGGCAGGGAGGCAGGCAGGGAGGCACGTTTGGAAGAGAGCAGTTGCCTTCCTGACTTGGGCAGCCAGCTCAACATGTGCACACGCTGGCCGCAGCAGGCAGCTGGGCTAGCAGCAGCTGGGGCACTGACGGGAGAGGAAGTCGTGAGCCAGCACCGCCTGAAGGTACTTGTCCAGGCCCTCCTGCAGCAGGTTAGCCAGGAGGGGCCTGCTCAGGGTGGCGCTGACGCGCATGCACATCGACAAATGTCATTGTCAGATTGCCGCACACTCACCCGCCGCTCCTCCACAAACTCCACGCTGCATGTCAGGCAAGGTGATGAGCCAGGGCAGACGGCAACAGGCGTGTCAGCGATGTGCAGGCGGCGGCCGGCATGCGAGATGGCAGATGCAGGGCAACCGCAGCGTTGTGCCTCTGCCCGCCTTACTTGTTGGAGTGCACAAAGATGCGCTTGGGCGGCAGTTTGAGGCGGTACGTGGGGTACATCCTGAGCTGCCTGTGCAGCGACTCAAAGTTGCGGTACCGACGCGACACCGTCCACTCATCCGAGTTGTCAGCCACTCGGATCTGCAGGCAGCGCGCGGCGGTGGCGTCAGTGGCAGATGAATGGCTAGATGGCAGTGCAGGCTGTCAGCCAGATACAGAAATGTAGGCTTGCAGAGCTAGCGCGCGCCCAGTGTGCTTCAAATGGGGAGATGGGGCAGCAGCGCCCACCTTGAACTCCACATAATCCTTGGAGCCGGTGGTGTTCAGGTCGGCAGCTACCACCTTGGCGCGTGCAGCGCCAGAGAACCCAGCCCGCATCGTGCCGCAGCTGGCGCTGCTGCTGCTGCTCATGGTGCGCGGCGTGACGCCTGCCACCGCGGCTTGGTCCACCAGAGGTGCCAACAAGTGAGCGCTGCTGAAGTCGCGGCGGGTGGGCAGCGTGAGAGAGGCCTCGCTGGCCTCCACCGACTCCCAGCCATCCCCGTCGCCGCTGCCCCCCGCCAGCAGCGCCGCCTCCTCCGCCTCTGCCGACTGCCGCCCCCGCTGCTGCAGCAGGCCGCTGAGAGCAGCCGGCAGACGCCAGCCGCCTGAGCTCGACGCCAGCCGGGGCGTGTCGTGGCAATCCTCGCCCCCAGCGTCCTGCTGCTGCTGTGCTGCTGCCGCGCTGGCGCGAGGCATCAGCACTGCCGCCACGGCTGAGGCCACATTGAAAACATCAAAGGGTGACCGCTGCTCCGCCTGCTGCTGCTGCACCTGCAGCGGTGGCGGTCGCGGCGGCCGCTGCTGGCCGCCAACCAATGCCTGCCTGCCACGATCAAGGTAGCTGCTGGCTGCTGAGCTGTCAACAGCGCTCAAAGAAGCTGCTGCTCCAGCTGTTGCTACTGCGTCGGGGGCGCCGCTGGTGCTGCCCTTGCTGGCAGCCGGCGACTCAACGACTGGCGAGCAGGAACGCGAGCGTGGGTGCACGCCATGCTCCTCCTCCTGCTGCTCCTGCTGCTCCTGCTGTCGCTGCCTCTGCAATGACTGCTGGTGCTGCTGTTCATTAGCCTCTACCTTGGCTGGCAGCATGTCCATTGATCTAGAGCGGGAGTACTGAGCAGACAGCTTGCTGCGGCAGGGGTGCAGCCCATGCCAGGTCAGATGGGCAAGGAAACCAGACCAGGAGCTCAGCCACTGGCGCAGTGCCTTTCAGCGGCAGCTCATGCACAGATCCTGCCCCACAGCACCAGTGACGGGCATGGCAGCGGCACAGGAGGAGGCACCAACCTGCGCAGGCGGTGGCGCACTTCCCGGAGCTTGAGCAGCGCCGAGTCCTCGGCCTCCACATGGTGAAGCAGCCGCTGCTCAAACTCCCAGTGCCCCCGCATGGCCTCGCTGCGAGACATGGCCAGCGCCGCGCTGACCTCCTCCGCCTCCTTCTGCCCGATGGCACGCATCTGCAGGCAGCGGTGCAATTGAGCGGCGGCATGGGCATCCGTTGCAGCGCAGGAGGGCCTTGCCAATGCACCAAGCGGTTGCCAGGCACCCCCTGCCACACCCACCGGGCGCGCCTCCCGCATCAGCGCGTAGAGCGCTTTGTTGGCGTAGTAAGGGGAGCAGTAGCCCAGCAGGGGGCGGAACACGCAGGAGGCGAGCAGCTCGCGGCAGACGGAGCGCGCCGCGGTGCGCTGCAGGTCCTGCACGTCCAGCAGGTATGCCACCGCCCCCTCCGCCACTGCCCTCAGGTACTGCACACAAGGCGGCGCGCACACAGCAGGCACATTCAGGCACATACACGTGAGACGCCTGGGGGTACAGGCTGCTTCATGCACTGCCATGATGGCCAGGAGTTGGCAGTTGGCATCAGCTCCACCCAGCATCACCCCGCCGGGTGCACCTTGTAGTGTCCGTCGGGCGTCTGCAGCGCGGGGTGCAGGTTCTTCTCGGCCCGCATCTCCCGCTGGAAGGCTCTGTCCCGCGCCGCGGCGCTCATGTCCCGCAGCACGGTGGGCTGCTGGGTGGCCAGCAGGATGCTTTCCCGCGTGTCGCGGTACAGCTCCAGCTGCACAGAAGCAAGGTTCAGGCAGGACGACGGCACGGGCATGGGACGGCGCATGCTGGGTGCAAGGCGGCTGAGGGGCCGGCGCGGCTCTGCACAGCAGCGTGCCCATCCTTCAGCGCCTGCCAATCTGTCAGCCCAGCCCCCGCATATCTCCGCACGGGTCCAGAGCTTCTCCAGCTTGAGCAGCGGCAGCCCACCTGCTCCATGAACAGCTCTGCCAGGTCGTTCATCACCAGGCGCAGGTCCAGCTGGCGTGCACGCTGCGCCAGCTGGCCAAAACCGCTGTTGAGCAGGCGCCGCACCTCCGCCGGGAACTCCATGTCTGGCGTGATGGTGCTGTACCAGATGTCGTAGATGAACTGCAACAGGCAGCGAGCGGGATACGCTGTGGGGAAACGCCAGAGCCGCCGGTTGGAGCGCGGTTGCGGCAGCGCCGGCCCAGACGTCGCCACCCCCACAGCACCTACCTCCTGCACGATGCTGCCGCAGAAGCGCACCCACGCTTCTTCCACCACGGGCGCCCGCACAAACTTGCGCCAGGCGTCGGGCTTGGCGCCCGACGGCGGCACAAACGTCGGGGCCGGTGTGGCGGGTGGCAGGTCACGCCGCCACGCCCGCCCTGCCCGCGCTGCCAGCAGCCGTGCGCGCTGCTGCCGCTCCAGCCGAGCAAACAGCCAGCGCAGGCTCAGCAGCGCCACCAAAGCCAACGGCACATTGCCCAGCAGCGACGTGCTCGTCTCTGCAAAGCCAGGCGGGTGAGCGAAGGTTGGGCCGCGGGTGGGGTGCCGGCGAGGGGCGGCGTTGGAGACAGCACCCGCTGCTGCAGCCGTTCACCAGGTGATCCCAGGCGCCCCGCTACCTACTTGTGAGCAGCCAGGCTAATATGAGAGCCGCCAGAGCCAGCTCCATAGCGCTGCGGTGGCTATGAAGCAGCCAGGCCAGCTGCTGCCAACCAGTAAGTGGCATGATCGCTTGGTATCGCCGCAGGGCAATGGACGAGCCTCAAAGGCGACAGGAGCTGCGATCCATTTTCGACGCGCGCGCCCAACACGCAGGCCGAGCAGCTCGCACTGGGGGTGAAGTAGAGGCGATTCCAAGCCAGTCTGAAGGGGGATGAAAGGCTCCTGCGAGCCCCCGGCTCTCCTTCCCAGCGAAGCTCCGAGCTGGCAGCGTGTCACATTTCCCGTCTGTCTAACTCCTGGACACCCTGCCAATCCTGTTCCAGCGCCTGCTGCCCGGTCTGCAAGTTTGGCGCAAAATAAACTCTGCAGGTGATGACAGAGCGGGCTGACGGAGCGCGGAGTGGGGCGGCAGTGGCCCCTGGCAGCCAGCAGGCCGAGCCCAACGCGGTGGAGGAGCTGGTGGCGCGCGGTTGGGCCGCCCCTGCCGCCCCGGGTGCATCGGCGGACGAGGCGCCGCAGCGGGCCGAGGCGCTGCAGGCCGTGCACCGCGAGCTGCAGTTGGAGGAGCAGCGGGTGGCTGCGGAGCTGCAGTGCCAAGCGGAATGCCAGCAGGAACTGCTGCACCAGCTGGATGAGGCTTGTGCAGCCGCGGGGCAGCAGCATGAGGCCATCGGTGCCTCCCTGGCGGCGCTCGCGGCTCACCTTAACTGCCTGTCGGTTGGCGGCGCCACAGCAGGCAGCAGCAGCGCGCAGCACCCGTCATGGCCGCTGCTCAGCGTGGGCGTGCCCGACAGCTATGCCAGGGCATGCAGCGCGCTGCTGGATGGCCTGGCAGGCTATGTGCAGCATCACTTCCCAAACAGCGGAGATGGCGAGGCGGCGGCGGCACACCGCCACCAGCTGCAGTGCCGGGAGCTGGAGCAGCTGCAGAGCTGCGTGTGCAAAGGGGAGTGGCTGCGGGTGGAGGAGGAGGCAGAGCTGGCCAGGTGCGGTGGCTGGCGGACTGCCAGTCCAGGCGGCAAGCCCCGACCCTGGAAGGCATGTCGCATCGTTAGAGCCAGGCTCCCCTTGTTTAGCTAACGCAGGCAACAATGCCGGCCCCACCCTTTGCAGGCTGCAAGCTGAACTGGAAGTGCTGCAGGCGCCGGCTGCCAGCGCCGCCGCCAGCCTGGGCTACAGCACCTCGGATCTGGAGGCTGAGGTGGCGAGCCTGGTGCGCAAGCGTGATGCCAGCCTGCCGCAGGCGCAGGCGGCGGCAGAGGCTGCGGCAGCCACGGCAGCAGGGGCCGAGGCCCTGGAGGAGCAGTGTCAGCAGCGGCAGGCCATGTTAATGCAGCGGGTGGAGGTCAAGCACCAGGTGGGCGGGGTGGGGTGGGGGAAAGCTTGCACCTTGGCCGCGCAGCGTGCTTAAAATCTGGGCTCAGTTGGACCACTGCCGGCCAACATGCCTCTCAAGATGCACTCCTGCTGTGCTGTCCAGGTGTTGAACATGCTCACCAGGCACCTGGCAAGGCAGCTGCTGGTCAGCCAGCTGCTGCAGCACGAGCAAGCGATGCTGCAGCAGATGCAGGCTGCTGCTGCGGCAGCTCAGGAGGATGCTGAGTCGGTGGTGCAGGCAGCGCTGGAGCGGCTGCCTGGTTACCAGGAGCAGGCACAGCAAGCGCCGCACCAGCGGCAGCCTGGGGCAACAAGTGGCGACACAGGATCGGCACCAGCAGCGACAGCATGCGCAGCTGAGCTGTCTGCAGCATCGGGGCAGGGGAGCGACCCTGACATGCTGCCGATGGCTGAGCAGCTGCTGACGTGCCGTGCCGAGCTGCAACAGCTGGCAGAGCAGGTGCATGTCAGCATCCTGCCCGCCCAGCATGCTGTGGTCGCCCAGCTGGCGGGCGTCCTCTATGGCAGCAAGGATGGCACCAGCGCCGCCGGGCTGCCGCAGTTGAGCCCGCCGCAGCTGCTGGAGCAGGTGAGGGAGGTGGCGGCGGCGCACGATGCCCTGACCCTGCAAGCCAACGCCGTGCTGGACGAGGTGATCAGGCGGACTCAGGCGCAGGAGGAGCGCCAGCTGGCGGAGCACGTGCTGCTGCACTTTTGGGGGGATGCCAAGCAGCTGACGGCGCTGGCGGCGAAGAACCAGCACAGGCTGGAGCGCTTTGCATGAGGAGTCGTGCGGCCATGGCCAGCCTTCCTGGCTGTCGGGAACGGGGCAAATGTATGACAGTGCTTGTTCCTAAAGAATGTCCTGGAAGCGCTCAGTGTTGGGTAAATAGCAGGGAAGGGAGGCAGCAGAAAGTAGGAGCAGGGAGGTGGTGGCTGTGGCTGGGCCTCCCTCACGCAGCCACCTTCTTGGGCCGGATGACTTCCATCCCCATCATAAACGGCCGCAGCACCTCCGGGATCAGCACCGTGCCGTCCGCCTGTGGCAGCAGGCAGCAGGCAAGGCAGCGCACGGGTCTCAAGGCGAGCGTCACGTAGCTGCCGGCCGCGAGCTGCCCGCCTCCATGCAACAGGTTTTCACATCACAAGCATCATGTTCATGTGTGCCCTCCACCCTCCCCACCAACACCAACCACCCCTGCCCCACCTGCTGGTAGTTCTCCAGGATGGCCACAATCATGCGCGGCACGGCGCAGGCGGTGGCGTTGAGCGTGTGCGCAAACTGGGTGGGCACCTTGCGCGCGCCGCCGCCCTTCTTCTTGCCGCCCTTGCCGTTGCCGCCCGCGGCCGCCGCCGCCTCTGCTGCTGCCTCGTCGGCTGCTGGGCGGTACCGGATGTTGAGGCGCCGGCTCTGGTAGTCTGTGCAGTTGGAGGCCGAGGAGATCTCGCCGTACCGCTCCATACCGGGCATCCAGGCCTCGATGTCATACTTGCGGTACGCAGGCGCCCCCAGGTCATGGCTGGCCATGTCCAGCACCTGACGAGGCGGGGGCAGCGAGGCAGCGTCAGCAGCGAGGGCTGGCTGGGGAGTCGGGCAGCGAGGGCCGCCCGCAGCAGGCAGGCAGCACCATGGCTTGCCGCTGTGGCACCGGGCGCCCCGTCAAGCACATGACCCCATCCCCAGAGCCCCTATCAGCCCCCAGGCAGCCCGCCCCACCTTGAAGTGCAGGCCCAGGTCTGAGAACAGCCCGACCTCCAGATCCAGCAGCTGCTGGTGCACCGCATCGCTCTGCTCGGGCGTGCACACCACAAACATCTCCACCTTGCTGAACTGGTGCACCCGGTACAGGCCCTTGCTGGCTGCGGGGAACGGGCCAAGGGGGTGTGCGTGGGCATGGGTTCGTCAGTGGGGCAAGCAGGCAGCAAGGCAAGCGGGCGGGCAGAAGGCAGATCCTCAAGAGGCGCGGGAACCTTCCAGCCGGCTGTGTGTCCCCGCAGGCCAGCCGGCGCTTGACCACGCACCCGACCCCGCGGCCCCCGCCTCTGTGCGGAAGCAGTGCCCAAAGGCGGCCATCCTGAGCGGCAGCTGCGCCTCGGCCAGGATCCGGTCCATGGCCACCCCGCCCAGCGGGATCTCGGCGGTACCCGTCAGGCACATGGCGCTGTCCTGCACGCTGTAGATCTGCGGCAGGCAGGCAGGGGCGGGGCCAGGGCGGGCGTAACAGAGCGGGTGAGGGCGCGTTCCGGCTCGCTCTGGCTAAGAAAGGCACAGGATGGAAGGGCCGTGGAATGACCTGCCCACCCAACCCCTCCACGAGCCGCCTCCCTCGCCGCGTCAGCCCGGCCCACCTGCGTGTTGTCGGCGCGCGGCTGGAAGCCGCACTTTTCGAACACCGACTCCCGCACCAGGTCGGGCGTGATGATGGGCGTGAACCCCGCCGCCACCACCCGCTGCATCGTCCAGTTCACCAGCGCCAGCTCCAGCAGCGCCGCCTCGTTGCGCAGGTAGTAAAACTTGGCGCCGCTGACCTGCAGCCCGCCACAGCAGGTGATGCACACGGTGGCGGATGCGCTGGTGATGCGCAAGGCCACCTTGCACATCAGCCACCCCAAGCAGCCCAACTAGCCCAGCTGTGGGCAGCAGCAGGAACAGCGGCAGCCCCGCCACCCCCCCCGCGCACCACGCCGCCGGTCTCAAAGTCGATCAGGTCCAGCTCCTCCCCCAGCTGCAGGTGGTCCTTCACCGGGAAGTCAAAGGCGGGGCGCTGGCCCACCGTGGCCAGCACCGCCGACGCCTCCTCGCCGCCGATGGGGACGTCTGCGCCAGGGGACGCCAGCGGGCGGCGGCGCACATCAGCTTCGCAACAACGAGTGATGCACGGTGCAGCGGGGAACAAGGTGCTGCCCGCAGCTTGCCCAGAATTGCCGGCAGGTGGAGTAGCACGGCACGGCATTGCGACTGCCCAGTCGAGAAAGGAGCCCCAGCCAGCTCATCGCTGGCCACTCGGCTGCCATGCCGCCTGCCGCACGCGCCTGGGTGCGTCATGTTGGGCAGGCGCTGGCCCTCTCGCTGCAGCTCCGCCTCCAGCGCCTCCAGCCGCGCCTCCAGCCCCTCCAGCCCCTCCTTGATCTGCTTGCCCCGCTCAATCAGCGCCGCACGCTGCTCCGGATCCAGCTTGCCCTGCAGGAGACAGCATGGGCAGCGCTGCAATCGGCGGCCATGGAATGCAGATGCGCATGCATGCAGCCGCATGTGGTAGCCATACCTCCACGCATCCCGCCGAGCGCTAGGTGCATTCAGCAAGCCACCTTGCAGGGCCAATCTCCAGGCGGCAGCGGAGGCTGGCACCGGCGGCAGGCGGCGGCAGCGCTCACCTTCATCGCGCCGCTGTTTTCATTGCGTGCCGCCCGCAGCTTGTCCGTCTCCTGCTGCGCCCCCACATACTCCTCGTAGAGCCGGGCCACGAGGTGGGGGTCGGCTTTCGATAGCCGGTTGCGGCAATTGGCCGCCACTGCCTCCACATTGTCTCTCAGAGACTTGAAGTCTATGTAGGCGCGGTAAGCCGGGCCCTCCACTGGCTGCTGCTGACCACTGGTGCTCGCCTGCTCCGCCACCTCCACCGCCGCTGCCGCTGGCCTGGCCGCTACAAAGGATCGTGCATGGCTGCTAGACCACCACTGCAGCACCGAAGGCGTGGCCCGCAGGCCAGCCCGCCCTGCTGAGGGCAGCCGCAGCGAGAGCAGCGGGCACCGCAACAGCATGTTGCTGGGCAGTTGAAGTGAGGAAGTCAATTGCAAAGCGCATGCACATCGGTTTGGCCACCAATCCTGATGGCGGCGAGCTGGCGCCTGCGCAGCACAGCACAGCACGCCGCCGCACTGCTATTTATTACAGGATGGTTGGTTCATTGAGATAAAAGAAGAAGAAACAAATGATGAGGACTGTCGACAATGGGCCAACAAATGCCTGGCCTTGATGTTGGTCGGCTCAGTAGTTGCGCACCGAGTCGTCGATGGCACGGGCCAGATACGCCGCCTTGGCGCCTGCAGCAGCACGAGGGAGGCTGCATTTCAACATCTTGTAGGTGCTGAAACAAGGGATGGCAGGTGCATTACCCAGCCCTGCACACGCCATATCTTGCAGCAATCCAGCCGACACGCAGTGAGCACGCAAGCCTGGTCACTTGGTCACAAACACACACGCACTCGAGAGCCCCGCCAGCGACAGCCGCCCATCCTTGGTCATGTAGACATGCCACTTGTTGGTCATGTTGTCGCACTGCTGGGGCGTCATGCCGGTGAACGTGAACATGCCGATCTGCTTGAGCACGAAGCTCCAGTCCTTATCGGGGTTGATCTCGACCAGGGCGTCATACAGGTCCTGGCGCACGCCCTGCAGGTGGGGGCGGGGCAGGTGGGCCTCGCGGCAAGCGTGATGCAGGCAAGGTGAGAAGCGGCGGCAGCCGACGGGGGCCGAGGCCTCAGCAGCACAGCACAAGGCAGCATGCACTACTGCAACAACGTGAGCCTGTACCATCTTTTATTATTGCCGCACGCCCCGCAGCCCTCGTTCTGCCCTAGCCTGCCTGCCTGCCCTGGCCCGGCTCTCCCCAGCACACCCACCTTGATCCTTCCCGCCATCATCTCCATCTCCCCCTTCCACTCCCCAAACATCTCCTCGCTGCCCACCACCTCCGCCACGATGCGCGCGCCGTGCACCGGCGGGTTGCTGTAGATGGCGCGCGCGATGCGCTTCATCTGGCTCAGCACGCGCTGCGCAGCGCCCGCCTCGCTGAGCACAAAGCTCATGGCGCCCACCCGCTCCGCATACAGCCCCAGATTCTGCAGGGTGGGGCGGGGTGAGGTGGGGTGCGGGGAGGATTCAGGGGGGTAAAGGGTGTGTGCACCGTGCCTATTGGGACCAAGCCCCAAGGAGCAGGGCTGGCGGGCATTCCCTGGCCCTGGGCGGCATCTCCGCCACGCCCCGGCTGCTGGCCTGCGCACTGGCCTCGTGCCCCAACCCCAGCCACGCCCCACCTTGCTGTACGACTGCGCCACCGCAAACTCCAGCCCCCGCTCCACAAAGTAGCGGGGCGCGAAGGCATCCTCCTCCAGGCTGCCCGTGGCAAAGCCCTGGTAGGCGACGTCGAAGAAGGGGAGGTGGCCCTTGGCCTGCAGCACGTCGGCGATGCGGGCCCACTGCTCCTTGGTAGGGTCCTGCGGCGGGGCAGCGGCGGGGCGGGCTGGTGAGTGGAGGTGTCGGTGGGCTGGCTGGGCCTATCGTGCTGCTGGAACATTGCCACATCGCGGCCGGTTCCAGCGCGATCGCTCACCACCCCCGTGGGGTTGTGCGCGCAGCCGTGCAGCAGCACCACGGAGCCGTCGGGGGCGGCCTGCAGGTCGGCCAGCATGCCCTCAAAGTCCAGGCCGATGCTCTCGGGGTCAAAGTAGCTGCGGGCAGGGCCAGGGGCAGGCAGGGGTGGCGGGGATGGAGCGGGGCAGAGAAGGGCAAGGAGGCACAGCCAGTGAAGCACAGGGTGCCTGTTGAGCTGCACTGCAGGCATCCCTGGCACAGCACAGCCTCACTGCAGGCATCCCCGGCCCAGCACAGCCTCCGTCACCCAGCACACTTGCTCCCCCAGCAAGCCCCCGCTTACCTGTACTCCCTCCACTCCACGCCGGCATCAGCAAAGATGTTCTTGTGGTTGCCCCAGGTGGGGCGCGAGATGTAGGCGACGGTGCCCGGCATGAACTTGGCGATGAACTCGGCTCCCACCCGCAGGCTGCCCGTACCGCTCAGGCTCTGCAGCACAGGGGCAGGCGGGCGGGCTGCCGCTCGGGTGCGTACATTTGTGTTGCGAGAGCAAGCACACCGCTGCACCTGCCCCAGCAACACGCGCCAGGCGGCCGCACCTGCAGCACTGCCACGCGCCCCTCCTGGATGGCCGGGCTGTCGGCCCCCAGCAGCAGCTCCACAGTGGCCTGGCGGAAGGAGGCCAGCCCCTCTGCAGGGCCCAGCCAGCCCGGGCAGGTCAAGGCACGCTCAGTGAGACACGCAGGCAAGCACACATGCGAGTCCCTTGGGATGGCAACGTGCGGGCGCCCTCACTGGAGCAACAGGCAGCCACCAGCTTCAGGGCACACCCCCACAAGGCACGCTCCACCCACACACCAATGGGCAGGTACTCCTTGTTCTCATCCTTGGCCAGCATGCGCTCCTCAGCCTGCACAGCACAGCACAGCACAGCACAGCACAGCACAGCACAGCAGGCGCATGTAGCATGCTGCATGGGGATGACCCCGCCAGGGACTTGCTGCCAGCCCATGTGCTGCATGAAACAAAGCACCCCATCCATTACTGCTCAGCTGCCTGCCAACCCTGCCCAACCCACCTTGCGCACCACCTTCAGCACGTACGGCTGCAGCTCCTCGGTGCGATAAGCGCCCACACCTGCACCCAGAGCACCAGGCAGAAGCGCGCCACCTCGGCAACGGCAGCACAAGATGGGAGGGAGGCGGCGGCGCAACCAAGGCAGGCCCTTGCAGCAACAGAGCGGTGCATCTCCCCTCCCGCAAGACGCACCCAGATTGAGCTTATCGGGGGAGGTGTCCTTCTTGAACGCCTCGCTCACGCCCTGCAACCCAGGGGCACAGGTGCAAGGCTCATCTGCCGCCGCTGGCAGGTGGCGCCGTGCCAACCGCTCCTCGGCAGGTAGGACGACAGCCAGTCCTAGGGGTGGGTAGCAACCCTTGAGTAACAGAACTCACCAGGATGGGGTCGGGAGGCGCTTGCTCCACAGCGTCCAGGCGGCTGGCAGTTTGGACCTGCGCCGCAGCGTGCACTGCCACCGGTGCCCGCCGCCTCCACCGCCGGGCAGCGCCGCAGCAGGCCGCCTGCACGTTGCAGAAGGGCAGAAGGGTTGCGCAGCCACCAACATTGTGCGCTTCTGGCTGCCTGGCGCAACAGAGCGCTATTAGGGTTGGTCCCTCAGTGCACCCTGGACTTCGCGGCGTCAACCCAGCCCTCTCTGTCTGCAACGCTCCAGGATCACCGATGCTCTCACCTGCTGGGGCCGGGTGCCCTTCGCCGCCGCCAGAGACATGTGCAAAGTCAAGAGTTGCAGGCAGCAGCCTAACTTTAGGTCAATTCTAGGATCAAAGAGCGCTTGCTCAATTTTTGCCAGCCGTGTCATGAGTGCCGCTGTGTGCGCCGCCAACCTGGCGGGCGGCGACCAAGCCCGAGGCGGCGCCCCGAGGGCAGGGAGGGGCATCGATAGGCGGAGCCATGGCACACTGCATGATGTACTGTGAGGGTGCCATGAGCTCCTGCGTGACCATGTCGGGGCACCGCAGCCAGCGGCGCACGAATAGCGCCGGCGCCCAAGCCGTCGCCAGCCGGGCACAACAGCCCAAACCCCAAGCCAAAGGAATACGTGCCTTAATGTGCAGCCTTCAGATGATGCTTCTGGCGTGTACCATGGTGTCTAGTCGATAGCTCTGCAGGTCCAGCGATTCGGCGAGTTCACCATGCCCCACAATGAGACGACTCCTGCTGCGCTCCCCTTCTACAAGACGTTCGCTGCCAGTGCAGCAGCCGCATGCACCGGGGAGGTGAGCGGGAATCGCAGGGTCAGCAGCCCATGGGGGTCAGCAAGGCACCCCTCTAGGAAGCACTTAGGAACCCTCAGACTCCGTGCCTAAAATTGGGACTGCATGCGCCAGTGCGCCCAATGCCAGCGCAAGCGCAGGCGGCGGCGACGGCGGTGGCCGCTGCCTTGCACGCCGCCCCCTGTGCCCTAGGCGGGTGTTTGATGCCACCCGTTTGCACCCACCAATGCGCCGCAGGTTGCCACAATCCCCATGGACACCGTGAAGGTCCGGCTGCAGGTACAGGGTGCCTCGGGCGCGCCCGCCAAGTACAAGTGAGAGCGCCTGCCCCACGCCAAAGGCGCTGCCCGCTCCCGTCTCCCAGCGCCCCCCTCTGCAGTCCAGCTGCTGCCCCTTGCCTGCTCGCCACCCTGTCGAGCCACCATTCATCTTCCCCAGGTTGCCGAGTCTGTTGGCTGCGTTGCAGGGGCACGCTGGGCACGCTGGCAAAGGTTGCGCGGGAGGAGGGCGTTGCCTCGCTCTACAAGGGGCTGGTCCCCGGCCTGCACCGCCAGATCTTGCTGGGTGGCGTGCGCATCGCAACCTGTGAGCGCCTGCATCGGCATGCACCGCGTCAGATGCCCCACAGCGGTGGCCGCCGCCTGCACGCCCGATGCCGCTCTGCAGGCTGGCAGCAAGCAGGCGCCCTTCTAACCCAGCTCCTCCAACCCTTGCCCTTGACTGCGGCTGTGCGTGCTCCCCCAACCCCCGTTCCCGCCGTGTGCAGATGACCCCATCCGCGACTTTTACGGGCGGCTGATGAAGGAGGAGGCGGGGCACACATCCATCCCCACAAAGATTGCGGCAGCACTGACGGCCGGCACCTTTGGCGTGCTGGTGGGCAACCCCACCGACGGTGTGCGGGGCTGGGTCAGGTTGCATGAGGGCATGCTGACGGCTGAAATGCGGGGCGGGGCATGGCGCAGCAGCCTGACTGCCTGCAAACCTCTTGGCCTCCGTGGCCACAGCCCCTTCCTGCTGCCTCCTCACCTGTACTGCCCCCGGGCCTGTGCCACCTGCGTGCTTGCTGGCCCGCAGTGCTGAAGGTGCGCATGCAGGCGCAGGGCAAACTGCCCGCTGGGACGCCGTCCAGGTACCCGTCAGGTGGGGCGTGCTGCGCCAGGATGGGATACTGCTACTGATAGTCACGGCATGTTGTGGCAACTGTGATGCCTCACAGGAAATGCATATGCTTGCTCTGCTTGGGCAATGGCCGCCGCCACACCTGCGCTGCCCCGCCCTCCCGCATTTCTGTGCCCACAGCGATGGCCGCCTACGGCATGATTGTGCGGCAGGAGGGCGTCAAGGCCCTGTGGACCGGCACCACCCCCAACATTGCCCGCAACTCGGTTGTGAACGCGGCAGAGCTGGCGACGTACGACCAGGTGCGGGGCGGGGCGGTGCTGCTGGCAGGGAGGCAGCCAGGCAGCAGGTAGTCAACACGGGGGAACTGACAGTCAAGGGGGGTGGGCTTACTCGTACCTATGAGCCACCTCCTGCCGCTCTGCTTCCCCGCAGATCAAGCAGCTGCTGATGGCCAGCTTTGGGTTCCACGACAACGTCTACTGCCACCTGTCCGCCTCCCTCTGCGCCGGCTTCCTGGCCGTGGCTGCCGGCTCCCCCTTTGACGTGATAAAGTCGCGCGCCATGGGTGCGCCGCCTTTGCTGGGCGTGCACGGTCGCAACCAAGCTGTGGCAGCCTCCCAGTGCCCGCAATCTGGTGCCCCATACTGCCCTTGGCTGGAGGCCAGCAAGCCAAGCCCCGCGCTCACTTGCTGCGTTTTGCCCTGCCTTGGCCCCCTGCAGCGCTGTCTGCCACCGGCGGCTACCAAGGGGTGGGGCACGTAGTGATGCAGACGATGCGCAATGAGGGCCTGCTCGCCTTCTGGTCAGGCTTCAGCGCCAACTTCTTGCGCCTCGGCAGCTGGAACATGTGAGGTGCCGCGCTTTGCTTGCCTGGTGTGGGGCACCAGTAGCATGGAGCCGTTGTGTTTGCTTGTCTCGGCAAAGAACAGGCATGCCTGAATTGCAACAGCTGACAGGGGCAGCTTCAGCACCCCTCTCTCCAAACCTGCCCCCCATTGCAGTGCCATGTTCCTTACGCTCGAGAAGCTTCGCCACCTCATGGGCGCGCCGTCAGCCAAGCACTGATGACCCCACCAACGCATAAGCTGTCGATACCAACGAACCCGGCCCATGCAAATCCCCAGCATTATGTCTTGCCCTGTTTGCAATGCACTTTTATTCATGTTTCCATATGCCCTTTGTTGTACCGCCCATGCATGGTTTGTCTGCTCCAAACATAACTCCCGCTCACAGCGCAAGGGCTCATGCCTTCTGCCCCTACCCGCCTGTGCACTGCCCTGTCATTCTTTTGCCACTCCCCCGCGCCTTCGCAATGCCCCGTCCGTGAATTCTTTTCCCAACCTGTCCACCTTCCTCGTCATCACACACCAGCCTCTCCTCCCTGGCAGCACCCGTGGCGCCACTGCGACAGCATGTGTTGCGGGGCTGTTACAGGAGAGGTTTAAATGCAAGTACTGCACATTAGTCCTGACATGGGGCGCCCCGCCGCCGCCCCAGCGCTGAGCAAAAACGAGCAAAGTAGGCACAAGGCCGCAGCAAGGGTGAGGGTTTCTCTTCTCGTGGGCAGGCAACGCCCTTCCGGCCAGTGCTTAGCGGCGGATGTCGTCGAAATTGCTGCACGGACATGGGAGCAGAGGCAGCGCGGGTGAGGGCCCAGGCGGCATGCACAGGCATCAAGCGCATGCTGCTCACTGCGGCAGCACCGCTCACGGCATGAAACTGACGGCACCATTGTCGCAAAGCGCAGCAACAAAATTCATACATGCGGCAGCAAGTGGCACGTAGCAAGCACCACACAGGGCAGCAGCCAGCCACAGCAGCGGCAGCACTCACGAGACCGCGGAGATAGCGCCCGCAATCGCGGCAAGCACAGCGCCGCCCGCCACCAGGGAGCCGATCAGGTTGTTCAGGCTGGGGGTGGCAGCGGCCTGGGCTGCCAGGGGGCTGGCCAGCATGGCAGCAGCAGCAGCGGTCACGCCCGCGACCACAGCCTCCTTCTTGGGGGCGGCGGCGCTGCAGGGCGGGAAGGGAGCAGCGGCGGTGCGGTGAGCGACTCGAGCGATTCGCCATGGCATTTGGGTCTGCTAGCATGGCTGCCGGCGGGGGGCTGCTGCATGCTGCCTCCTGTGCTGGCTGGAGGGCAGGGCAGCAGCGGTGGGTCGCAGCCCCTCGCAGCCCCCGCTCAATCCTCAGGCCGGTGCCATCCACCCACGCAGCCCGCATTGGCCCTGCCGGCGGTATGGAGGCTGCCATCTGAGCCGTTTGAGCGCCCCTGGGGGGCGTCTGGGGCCCCACAGCGACAGCTATCTCCTGCCTATCCCGGCAGGCTGATCCCTATCGTGGCCGGCCCCAGCACCCGTTGCGCTGCTGCAGCTGCCCCACGATCCGCTGGCGGGCTGCCCGATGCTGCCGGCGGGCGGGCAGGGCCTCACCTGCACACCACAGGCCGGGCCACGCGTGCCTGCGCCCGAGGGGCCTTGGCGGCCACTGCACACAGAGCCAAGGGGAGCCAGGGGTCCGTCAGAGCTGCGAGCGGGCGAAAAGGCGGGGGCTTGCGGCCCGCAGCCCCGATCGAGCCTCACCCTGCGAGCCCACGAAGGGCTTGGCCTGGGCGAGGGACAGAGCCATCATCGTGTCTGGGCTGTGGGGGGCAGGGGGAGACGCTGAAGGCTACTGTGAGGCGCCGATGGCCATGAAAGGCGTTCTCATCCGAGCCACCCGCAGCAAATCCCTGGGTCCGAGGACCCAAATCATCTCGCGCCCTCCGCAGCCCTCCGCACGGGCGCATTCAGCTCTCGGGTTGGCACAAACGGGTCAGGCAGGGGCGCCGCATTCACCGCCGGTCGGGCGTGCCCCGCCTCCCGCCCCGCCCGCCGCCCCTTGCCTGCCGCCGCTGGCCAGCCCTGCACCTCCGGTTGCTGCCAATTAAACCACCTGTTACAGGATGTCATGGGATCCAGTCTCAATCGGAGCGGCAAAACGTGAGGAGGAGGCCCACCCAGTCACCATTCCTCCTCAGTCGTGCTTGCCGCCACTGCCGCCGCCGCCATGCCGCTGCAGCAGGTCTTTGATCAGCTTCAGGCAGGCAGGCTGCAGCTGCTGTGCACGCCGCTCCGCCAGCAGCTCCGCCTGCTCCTCCGCCCCCACCGCCAGCTTGCGCGCGTCGCGCTCGTCGTCGCCATCCGCCTCGCCGCCGCTGTCATCGCCGCAGCTGTCGCCGCCTGCCGATTCCGGCTGCCCGCCTTCCTCGCCGCCAACCCCAGCCGCCGCCGCCGCCGCCGCCGCCGCCTGCTCCTCCTTCCGCGGCTTGCTGTAGTGCTGACGCAGCGTGGCAGCCAGGTCACGCAGCGCCGCATCCACTGCGGCATCCCATAGCGGTGCAGGGCGGCGCGACACCGCCTGCATGTCGGCCATCACCTGCAGTGCCTGGTACACGCCGGGCACCTGCCCCAGGCAAGGGAGGCACGGGAGGGAGGAGGGCGAGTGGCACAGTCCAGAGGTCAGCGGATCGTGTGCACTGTTCTGAGCAGCAGGTAGGGCTGCAACGTCACAAGCTTCAGTTTGCCCATGGGCACAAGCACTTGCAACCCTCACAGTCTTGACACGCACAGCCTGCCACCCACCTTGTCCGCTGGGCGGGCATCAGCCAGCAGCGCCGCCAGCTGCGCGCCGCCATGCCCCAGCAGCACCTGCCACAGCGCGCCGTGCAGCTGCGCGTCGCCGCCGGGCTGCAGGGGCGGCGCCGCCACCGCTGTCGCGAAGCCAGGCACTGCCGCAGCCCAATCCACCAGCGGCTGCCCCGCCGTGCAGGCCAGCAGAAGGGTGCAGCGCAGCGGCTCCACGCCTGGCTGCCCCCCCAGCTGCACAAAGAGCAAGACCAGCGAGCGCAGCAGGCCGCCCCGCAGCAGCGCCTCGTGCACACGGCTGGCGCCGCCGCTTCCGCTGCCGGGCGTCGGCATCAGCGCCGCTGGCGGCGCTTGCAGTACATAAAAGTACACTAGCTGGCAGGGCAGCGCAATGCGGTACAGCTGCTGAGGGCCGGGCTGCACCTGGCCCGCCCCCCCAGAGCCGCCTGCCCGCGCCTGCCGGGCCAGCGCAATCTGCTGCTGCTCCAGCTGCTGCGCAGCCAGCGGCAGCAGCCGCTGGTGCACCTCCTGCCACAGCTGGCGGCGCGCCGCCGGCGCCGTGACCTGCGCCGCCAGCGCCACAGCAGCTGCCAGCGCCAGCTCGGCCGCGGCGGCATCCTCCTTGGCGCCGCCCCTGCCGCTGCTGCTGCCGGTTGGGGTGGTGGTGCTACTGCTGCTGCCGGGCACCCCCAAAGCGTCCATGATGGCTGGCAATCCCGCCTCCAGCTCTACGGGCGCGGCCACCAGGCGGTCGGTGGCCAGGCGCAGCAGCGGCTGTGCCACGCCCTCGAGCTCCAGGAACCGCGGGTGGCGCCTGGCCGCAGCCAGGCAGGCCGCCAGGCGCTGCATGAGGCGCAGCTCCCGCCACGCCCCCGCGTCCGCCATTGAGTGGTAGCTCAGGTGCCCCGCCAGCTCAGCCAGCTGGTCCGGCAGGCCCTCGACACTGGCCTGAGAGCCGCCGCCGCTTGCCCCGCTTTGCAGCGGCGCTGCGCACGCGGGCAGCCGCAGCGGCCGCTGCAGCTGCTCAATCGGCTCATAGGCGGTGCTGTCGTCATCCTCCTGCACAGCAGACGCAATGCAGCCCAGCGCAGCATGTGTCAGGAACTGCTACAGCCGGGAGCTACAGTGCAAGGCTGCACAGAGAGCTGAGCTGCAGGGCTGGCAAGGACAGGCCCAGCGGCAGTTGCCCGTTTTGCCCGCCATCCCACCACACATGCGCACCTGCTGCGAGAGGCGGTGCTCCAGCTCAATCTCGCTGCCTGCCGCGCCCTCTGCCGCGCCTGCCAGCACCTGCTCCAGCTGGCTGTATCCCTCTGCCGACAGCACAGAGCCGCCCGGGTGCAGGCTGGCAAGCTGAGCTGCCGCGGCCGCCTCGGGAGCCTCCAGACAGGTGCACAGGCTCTGCACCACCGCCACCGCATAAAGCTGCTGATACAGGGGCACCAGGTCACTGGCAGCAGAGCTGCTGCCTCCGCCCTTCATGCTGGCGGCGGCGGGTCCGCTGGCATCGCTGCCAGTCGCGGCCGAGTCCGCGCTGTCCCGCAACACGCCGAGGAAGCGGCTGCTGACGCCCCGGCGGTCGCCACTGGCATATTCTTCCACTAGCGCTGCCAGCCCCTCGGGAGCAACCACCTGCAAGAGCGGCACCGGCAAGAGGGGTGAGCAGGCTTGACGTTTGAGCGGCGGCGGGCGGCGGCGGCGGCAGTATGCACGGCCAGCTGCTGCGGGCCTCTGCTCACGGGAAAATCAAATTGCAGCTGATTAAAGGCCGCCTGAGCCAGCTGCGAGGCCGGTTTCTTCACTGCTGCGGCGGCCTGTGCATCCTCCAGCGCAGCGATCAGCTGCGCCGCGAATTCCTTGGGCGCTCCCTGTGCCTTGCCGCCCATGATGGCGCCCCTGGTTCCTCCAGAGGGGCCGGCGCGGGTGGCAGGTTGGCTCAAGTTGGGCAGAGGGCAGCTTGCCGATCACACTGACATCGAGATCGATCAAGCCAGTCGATTAAGAGGGCTCCCGGCCCGAATGCACATTCCTCTGACGCCCAACTGGGCGCCCGCGCCTTCCTCTGTAACCCCACTGGTCCAATTGCCGACTCCAGCAGTCTTCCGAACATCGTCCCGGCCATGATGTCGCTTCATCTTGTGACACTGCTAGCGACGCGTTCGCTCCCTGTGCAGTGAACTGAAGTTGGTGCTGGCTGCACGGGGTGTCTCACATTCCCGCTGCCACCGCCTGATCACTGCCGCACCGATCCCGCTCTCGGTTCCCCGCCTCGCATTCCTCCTGGGATGCTTGAGACTGGCAGCAGGGGACTCGCCTCAACTCCCTAGGACCGGCGGAGGCAGGAATGACGCAGACTATTGCCCCCTCCCAGCAGGAGCAGAATGGCGAGCCCACGGCCAACGGCGCTGCAGCCGCAGGAGCTGCCGCCGTCGCCGGTGGCGGCAGCCCAACGGCGGCGGCGCCGCCCAAGGTGGCTGCCAGGCACCTGCGGCAGGGCAGCGGCGGCTCCTCACGCTCCATGCTGTCCTCCTCCAGCGCCCGTTCCCTCCTGAGCATGTCATATGGCGACCTGAGCAGGTGGGCACTACCCACACATGCAGCACAGCCGGGGAAGGCGGGAAGCCAGCCTCGGCCTGCCTGCTGTGTTTGACTGGTCGGTTGACTTGGCAGCCACCCACATGGGGCACACAGGCGGACAGCCCCCGCTTAGCCATTGTGGGCCGGCTTACCAAGCCAGCCAGATGCATCGCATGGCATGCTGCGATGCGTGATACACCTCCGGTTGTTGCCGCGTTTGTGCCGAGAGCGCGGTACCACCTTGCTGCTTCGACTGCTCCGCACCGTGCCTGCCCTGAGCCTGCCTGGCGTGCCTGCCTCCTGCCCCACCTCCCCCCTGCCACAGCTCCACGCGCCTGGGCGTGCCCAAGCGCACCGCTGAGGTGGCGGCCCAGCTGGATGCACAGGTTGCGGAGTGGGGCGGCGACAAGGCCATCCACTCGGTGCTGGTGGCCAACAACGGGCTGGCAGCCACCAAGTTCATGCGCAGCGTGCGCAGCTGGGCGTACAAGAACTTTGGCAACGAGCGGGCAGGTGGGCGGCGGCGGTGCTGCGGCTGCTGCTGCGACGGCGGCGCTGGTGGCCGGTGGCCGGGCAAGGCGGGGGGAGGGCAGCCTGCTCATGCCTGCGGCTGGTTGCTTGCAGGTATGCGCGAGGTGGCGTGCATGGCAGGCAGTCGACTGGCCTGGCAGTCACCCGGTGCCAGCTGGCCGACCGGCTGCCCCCGCCGCTCCTTGCTCCCACGCCGCCCGCTGCCTGGGCCCCCTGCAGTCAACCTGATTGCCATGGCCACACCCGAGGACATGCGGGCGGACGCGGAGCACATCCGCATGGCCGACCAGTTTGTGGAGGTGCCGGGGGGCAAGAACACCAACAACTATGCCAACGTGCAGCTCATCGCCGCCATGGCCATGCGCACGGGGGTGGATGCGGTCTGGCCGGGCTGGTGAGCTGCAGGGATGGGGCTGCAGCTGGGGGCTGGGGGTGGGGGCTGGTTGGTTGGGTGCATCACTTGCGCTGGCACCAGGCCAGCAGGCGACGGCACAGCTGCCGAGCGGGCGGGGAGCAGGCAGCGGTTACGGGGCCCAGCCTGCCACATTGCCACATTCTCGCCACTTTCCATTCCCTTGACGCCTGCCCATCACACCCTTGCCACACCCTGGCTGCCATGCCGACCCCCAGCTCTCTCCCGCCATCCACCCCTGCCTCCTCCTCTCCCTCCTCCTGCTCCTGCAGGGGCCACGCCTCTGAGAAGCCCGAGCTCCCCGAGGCCCTGGATGCCACCCCCACCGGCATTCGCTTCCTGGGCCCGCCCGCCGCTGCCATGGCGGCCCTGGGCGACAAGATCGGGTCCACCATCCTGGCGCAGTCGGCGGGGGTGCCCACCATCCCCTGGAGCGGCGACGGCGTCACGGTGGACTATGCGGGTGAGGGGAGGCGGGGCTGGGGGAGGGTGCAGTGTGTGTTGTTTGCAGGGGCTGGGATGGGAGGCGGTGTTTGCAGGGCTGCCCGAGGGCTGGCCTCGGCAGCGCATGTTGCGGCCTGCCGCGAGTCGTGCCGCTCCTGCCTCGCCAACCCGTCCCCGCCGCCGCCTCCTTCCCTGGGGCTCCCGCTGCAGCGTGCGCCGGGGGCGTCATCCCTGCCGACGTGTACGACCGCGCCTGCATCCACAACCTGGGGGAGGCGCTGGAGTGCTGCAACCGCATCGGATACCCGGTCATGCTCAAGGCGTCGTGGGGGGGCGGCGGCAAGGGCATCCGCAAGGTGGGGGCGGGGGTGCCACGCGGTTGGCAGGGCGGGATGAGCTGGGGTGTGGGGCGAGGGCGCAAAGCACAGATTACCCCAGAGCTGGCTGCGTGTGGAGGGGGTGCGGCAGCCCTGCCTATCTCCCCTCTGCCTCCAAGCTGGCTGGCCCCGACCTGGCCTGGCCTGGCCTGCCCCACCACGTGCCCCCTCCCCTCCCCTCCCCTCCCTGCCCCGCAGGTGATGAGCGACGACGATGTGCGGCGCCTGTTCAAGCAGGTGCAGGGCGAGGTGCCTGGGTCGCCCATCTTTGCCATGAAGCTGGCCCCGCAGAGCCGCCACCTGGAGGTGCAGCTGCTGGCAGACAGGTGGGCGGGCAGCGGGGAGGGGAGGGGAGGGTGGGGGCGTGTAGGAAGCAAGTCTGCGCCGCCGTCAGTTCCATGCCAAGGCCGTAGGGACACCGGTGTGGCAGCACTGCTTCTGAAGTCCGCCTGCACTGCCTGCCCGTGCCCCCCCCACACACACAACCGCAGGCACGGCAACGTCTGCTCCGTGTTCAGCCGTGACTGCTCGGTGCAGCGCCGGCACCAAAAGATTGTGGAGGAGGGGCCAGTGGTGGCGGCGCCGCCAGAGGTGCGGCCCCCAGACGCCTGGCGCACACCTCGCCACACCACGCCCTGCTGTTCCTGTGCATCGCCTTCTGGGCCATGCTCCTACCCTCTGCTCCTTTCTTGTGCTATGACCATAGCTGCCACCCCACTTTGCCCCTCCACCCACCACACACACACCTGCAGGTGCTGGCCGACATGGAGCGGTGCGCACGCGCCCTGGCGCGCAGCGTGGGCTACATGGGGGCGGCCACCGTGGAGTTTCTGTACATCATGGACAGCCGGCAGTACTGCTTCCTGGAGCTCAACCCGCGGCTGCAGGTGGAGCACCCGGTCACCGAGTGGATCTCCAACGTCAACATCCCCGCCTGCCAGCTGCTGGTGGGCATGGGCGTGCCCCTGCACGCCATCCCAGACCTGCGCCGCATGCTGGGCGCCGACCCGGCGGGGAGCGGGGCGCTGGACTGGGAGGGCGGCGCGCGCGTGGCGCCAGCGGGGCACGTGGTGGCGGTGCGCATCACGGCAGGTGGGCACAGGGGAAGCGAGCGCTGGCAGGGGTGTGCGCATGGGGAGGACATGCCGTCCTGGGCTTGCTGGAGCAGCTGGGCTGGGCTCTCTGCTGCTGAGGGGGAGGCTGCCTGGCGCTCCGCAGCCATGCTTGCTGTGCCAGTACACACGTGGCCTCCGCCTGCTGCCTCCCGCAGAGAACGCCAATGATGGCTTCAAGCCCACCTGCGGTGGCATCGACGAAATCTCCTTCCGCTCCACGCCAGAGGTGGGGTTGGTGGGGCCGCGCTGCAGGCGCCTGTCCGTGCCGTGTGCCATCCCTTCCTTGCCTGCCGAAAGTGGCTTGCCCCCCCTCTTCCCAGCCAGCACCACACAATCACCCTCCTGCTGCCACCGCGCCCCATCTCCCCCCTGTGCTCAGCCTCTCACCACCCTGCACCTCCCCTCCCTCTCTCAACTCCTCCCCAGGTCTGGGGCTACTTCTCCGTCAAGGGCGGCGGCGCCATCCACGAGTACTCGGACTCACAGTTTGGCCACCTGTTTGCCAAGGGGGAGACGCGGGAGGCGGCCATACGCGCCATGGTGGTGGCTCTCAAGGAAATCAAGATCAGGTGGGTGGCTGGGGGCGGTGGGAGGAGCATAGGGTGTGGGGACAGCAGGTACATCGCCCCACCAACCAACCTGCTTGCTTCCGCCTCTCTGCGTGCTCCGCTGGCATGCCTGCTCCTCTCCCCCTCTGATTTCCTTGCCGCTGTTCCCCTTGCCCGCCCCGTCACCTCTCCGATCCCACCCCACCCTGCCCCTCCCCTCCCCCTCCTCCTCCCCTACCCCCAGGGGCGAGATCCGCACCATTGTGGACTATGTGGTGGAGCTGGTGCAGAGCCCCGACTTTGTGGCCAACACGCACCACACGGGCTGGCTGGACGCACGCATCTCGGCGCAGGTGCGGTGCTGGCCTGGGCTGGGGGCCGGCGGCACCTGTTGTGCTGGGGGTTCCTTCTGGTGCCAGCTGCCGCCTTACTGGTAACAAGTAACCACCCTGCCTCCTCCCACGTGTCGCACTCCGCAGGTGCGCAGCGAGCGGCCCCCCTGGCACCTGTCTGTCATCTGCGGTACCGTGCTGCGCGCGCTGGGCCACGTGTCGTCCCGCTCAGCAGAGTACCTCAGCTACCTGGAGAAGGGGCAGCTGCCGCCTGCACGCATCTCCCTCACCACCCTGCGCGAGGAGTTTGTGGTGGACGGTGAGCGGCTGGCTGGCTGGCTGGCTGGGCAAAGCACTGCACCCGCCGCTGCCTGTGCTGGTGTGGCGCGGCGGGCTTGGTGCCCTGCGGTGTACCTCCTGCACGGCTGGCCGCGGTAGCGGAGGCACCGACCTGCCCCTGGCCGCCTGGCTGCTCCTCCCCCCGCTTGCCCCCTGCAGGCGTCAAGTACGGGGTGAAGGCGGTGCGGCTGAGCCCCCAGACCCTGCGCCTGCACCTGGGCGCCACCTGGGTGGATGTGGTGGTGCGCAAGCTCAACGACGGAGGCCTGCTGGTGCAGGTGCGGAGCCTGTGGGGGCAGCACCTGGGGAGGGCCTGCCGGCCCTCTGCAGGAGAGTACCAGCACGTGGCGCTTCCCGCCATGCCCCTGCCGTGCCGCGCGATGCACCCCCTCCCTCCCGAGCCCCGCCGCCACTCTTCCGTACCCCGCCTCGCCCCCGCAGGTGGACGGCAGCAGCCACGTGGTGCACAGCGAGGAGGAGGCGCTGGGCACGCGCCTCACCATCGACTCCAAGACCTGCCTGCTGTCAAACGAGCACGACCCATCCAAGGTGCGCCGCTGCACAGCCGCTGCACGCTGCGGCGCCACCGCTGACCCTGGCGCATGGGCGTCTCGCAAGCACACGCGGATTCAGGGCAGGGAGGGAGGCCCCATCCCGCACATC